CTCCCCCTCCCTCACCCTTATCCTCCTCCTTCACCACCTCCTCCCCCACTTCATTATCATCACTGTGGACAAAGTAAAGTAGGGAAGAAGGATCTTGAGTTATTTTCGGTCTGTAAATGTGGTGTTGTTTTTTTTCCTACTAAAACGGCTCAACGTCTCACCCCGTTGACTTATCAAGATGAGAGACTGAGAATAATCAATGTTTCGCCAACTATCCCCCCTCCTTCCGCCCCTGCCCCCTTTCGCCCCCTTCACCCCTCCCCACCTCCCATTAAAAATATCAAAAACAAAATAATAACACAATATCATGCATGTTTATATATAGGCCTGCTTGCTTAGCACTCAAATTGTGGTTGCTGTTTTTTTGTTTGTTGTGAAAACGTTGTCCTTTTCTCTGGCCTGCAGCTGCTAAACATTGCTGGCATGCCTGCATTCCGGATTGTTGCCTGCGATCCCGAGAAGCTGGGCTCCTACATCAAGGTTTCTAATCAGTCCGACATCGCTCTCGTGTCTGCTTCGCTGTGCGGCATTGAGGAAACCAAGTTACCCGACTTGGTCAATCAAGTACTGAGACAAGTCAACGTCACTGCCATCATAAACTCCGTGAGTTTGTCAGCAATATATTATACATATTTGTCTGTGTGTATATACATTATTATTATAGTTAGCCCATCATACAGCACAGTATTTTGGAGACTGGCTTCTCATGCGTACTTGTGGTAGGCCTACTGAATTTGGCACCATATAGTCAGTAGGCTACTTTGTAATGCTTCTTATGCTTCTCAAACTTTTCCAATAATTATATCTATTCAACTCCCAGAGTTTCCCTTTCCCCTTTTTACCCCCTTTGATGGTTATTCGTGCAGTCTTTGTAGCGTAAATATACATATTAATTGTATTTCACAACTTGGAACCTTCTCAAGCGACCGCGACGATAATGCATATTTCACATTCGTTATTGCATGCCAGTTTGTCGTTTGATCCTGTGACTCGTCTTAAAATAAGTCATCCCATCTTAGAATAAGGTAATTTCTTTTTTATAATTATATGAATAGGCTAGTGTTGCTTCCCATGAGCAGATTCTATCGCTGCTCCTAACCTGCCTTTCTTGTTCACACATTAGCTGCTTTGGCTTGAGATATCGGAGAAAACTGAATACATGTCTCTCTGTGAAAAGTAACCCCCTGTACATATTATAGTTGTATCATAAAATATGACTGTTACATTGCTTCCTTGGAGGGTTTACTGAAACTGGGAGAGTTTTTTTGTGTGGACTAAAATATTACATGCTCATAAATTAATCATGTGTGCATACACACCAACACATACATACTTGCACTAAAACACACACATATATGGACTCACACACATATGCACATACACACACACACACACACACACACACACACACACACACACACATGTATGAATGCACACACATACACACATATGAACACATACACACATGCACACACATGAACACAAGCACACCTACACACACACACACACACACACACACACACACACACACACACACACGCGCGCGCGCGCGCACATGCAGTAACACTCACTCAAACAGATATTATGGTACACATACACACTTTATAGCGTCTCCCATTTTCATACATCAGCAAATCCTCGCCCGTTATCACAAAGTCTCTCCACTTTCCACCCTCAGCTGAAGCTAGTTGAAGGCCTGAAGGCCAACATGGGGGCAGAGTCTCTGGAAACCATCCTGGACAGTGTGGCTGACATGTTTGAGCTGGTCATGTCCTCCGACTCACTCATTCCTGTTCTTGTCAACTTTGCTGGGACGCCTGACATCACAGACTTGATCCGCCAAATCCCCAGCTGGGTGAACGGATTCACTGATTTGAGCACTAGCCTTGCTTCGTGAGTGTTTTTTATATCATATCAAACGAGAAATGAGTAGTCTGAGTAGTCTATTAGAATTTCCAATAAGAATGTGTCAATGCATTTAGTATGAATAGTTTTGAACAGGCAAGGCAAGTGAAACTAGATTTTAAGAACTGGGTTATAATAATATGGTGGTGAAATTTTATATTTTTCAAGAGTTCTATCTGAAACAAAATGTATTATATATACTGCTTCAAAATCTGTTGTGATGCTAGAATCCAATTCCAGGGATTATTTTGTCTTGTATTTGTATGATGAAACTGATCACTTTTTATTATTTAATGAATAAAAATACTGTCACTTCAAATATTACCCGCTTACTTGTTTACTTTGGAAAGACGGGGAAATGACTTTTTAATAAAAAAGTAGGCCATGTTATAATACAGTTACCCCTTTTGACTAGTATAGAGCCATTTTACCACCAAGGTCTAGTGCGGGGAAGCAGAAGCAGAAAAAGAGAAAAGAAACATGTTCTTTGTTAAACTTTTTCCCCTTTTTTTAACAGCATTCAAGGTGTTGTTGATAGTCTGGAGCCTCTGATGAAGACTGTAGGAGCCAATGATTCACCAATATGGCTTACTGTGAAGTCTGTTGCTGAGCTGGGACTAAACATTATCAAACTTGGAAGTGGAGAATGGAATGGGACTTCTGAGGTTGGTCATACGTATGTGTGTATATTCAGGCTTGTGTGTGTGTGTGTGTGTGTGTGTGAGTGTGTGTGTGTGTGTGTGGGTGTGTTTGTGGGTGTATATGTGTGTGTGTGAGTGTGTGTGAGTGTGTGTGTGTATGTGTGTGCGTGTGTATGTGTGTGTGTATGTTTGTGTTTTTGTGCCACTATGTATACTCCGAGAGAGTATTCTTTTGAGGATTTGTTTAGTTACTTCCCTCTTTTCAAAATGGCGTTTCCAGGTTAGGAAACATTTTTGTTAGATCTTGAGCTGATCATTTCTTATACTAGTAAACTAAAATTATTCAGTGCTTCATGGAAAAAAGCAATTTCATTCAATACTAGCATATCTAGCATGCCAAAGGAGGAAAAGCAAAAATACTGTACTTTATCAAATTGTTGTATCTGTTTAACTGTTATGATTATTGAAGAATTATTTCAGAAAGCTCTTAGCAAAGGATATCAGGAAGACTTTCTCATTAAATTTTTCTTAATGTTTGTTCTCTCCAGGAATTTCTGAAGCCAGTGGGTGACCTGATGTCACACCTGGAGAATTTGATAAAAACAGGGGAAGGACAGCAGATGATAGTTGTTCTGGACTTTATCTCCAAGATTAACTGGCCAAACATCTATGACCAGCTTGTTTATACTGACAATTTGGATGACCAGTAAGTTGTGTGTTGTTCAGGTCTATCAGAACTGAGAGGACGTTTGAAGTAAGCATTGCATTATCTACTTTCTTCAAAGTTTTCTAAATTGCTCTTTTAGTAAGTAAGGTGTCATAGCAAGGACCATTTTAAAAAGATGGCTCCTTTCTGAAAGATGTTCATTTTTAGCTACAACTTAAAAAAGATAAAATATCTTAGTATTCTTTTTCCTCAGAAATGGACAGTTCAGACGGCTGGGTGGAGGTAGATGACCCTGGGAATTGGTCAGCTTTTTTACATGAAAATTAAATTCATCACAAACAAAACCCTGGTGTTTTTCATATTATATTTCATTCTGATATCTTTGGCTTCCGTTCAGGACTGTGATTCATCTTTTGGATTCCTTGGAAGAGATGTTGCGCCAGTTTCCAGATTATGATGTGGTGCAGAAGATTTCAAGACTCGCTCAGCACTCACTGGATGTTGTTTCAATTCTCATTGATATGTCCACAGGTCAGTATGTGATTCTTGTCCCTTGAAAATGCTTTTCAACATTTTATGATGAAATCTGTCTCAGCTATCCTTTGAAAAGAAAGCAGTTTTCTGATTCTTGAAACTCTTAAGTCTTGTAAAGACCAGTAGCCACATAACGTTCTACAAGATGTTAACACTCAATTACCTATTTTCTGATGCGTCAATAGCTCATCCTCCTTCAAAATAACATTTACTGCAGTATTTACTGATAACGGGAAGTACACCTCATACAGGAGTTCGTACATGAATGAGAAATAGCTATTCAAACAGCTAACTTACTTACACAGATACTTTTCTCTTTTCTCTGAAGTAGTCTTGTAGCTTTGTGTTTGCATAAACGCTCAAAGAAATTTTCAGCATTTTCCCTCCATTTTTTTCTTTTTTTTTCTTGCTTGACCTTTTAGACCTAAGAACTTCCCTCAAGAGAACAGTGGAGTCAAGTGAAGGCTTTGCATCCAAACTCAACCAAATCCTGATGCGTGGCCCAGAGGTGACGAAGGCTCTTCTTGATACCTTCACGCAGCCTCAGGTCCTCAGTGTAAGTGGCTTGCTGTCTAAAAACGCTTAGTTTTTTTTGTCTTTGAAATGAAAAAATTGAGTACACTAGACAGTTGGTATTATGTACCCTCTTCAAGTTAGAAAGATGTGTCCATTTGTTTTCATGGCACCTAAGGGAAACTTTTCTACAACTTAAAACTTTGAAAAATATACTTTTTCGTTGAGTGTACATGGTATACAATAATGAGGTCTCACTGTACTTCTGTGAGTGGGAAATGTACAAGACGCTAGGCTCTTGTATTGAGTTACTCTCTAAGCTCTGTCAGCACTATTAGGTCTGATACATCCAGAAAGCTGTACCTTACATGGGCATCTTAAAAAAAATATAGTAAGGAGACCACTTTAGAAGACTCAAGCTATTGTTCTTGCTCTGCAACTGTTCTGAAGTCTAGCTCTTAAAACGAAGCACAACAACATGAAATCCTTTTATTGTATGGAGGACCTTTTGAGACATTTGATCATTGCAGTTCTCTAGGATCTTTTGATAGTAATGATTACTCATTGAATGAGTATGTTTGAATAAATTTGTTTCCGCTTGGGTCTCTAATGGCACATTTTGTTTTTGTTGTAGTTTTTACAAACGCATGCTGGCATATTGAAGGAAGGTGAGGAGATGGGGGAGGGGTGGGGGTGGATGGGTTGGGGTTTTTTTTAACTGCTAAGTATTTGTCACATACACTCCAATTACCTTCAAAGGAAATGTTTGTGGGATAATGTTTTTGCTATTGATATTGTCTCAATGGGTGGGGTTGTTGAAACGATAATCGCATTACACTCACTGCTGAACCAAAGCTATGAGGGATGGGAAGGACTTGTATTTTTAATTGAGTTATAAATACATTTTTCACCTCTGCCATGTGCAATTGTTATGAGTTTGCTTTTTGATAATTTTCAAGACATGTTCATGATGGTAAGCTTAACTTTTCTTTTCTCAGGAACTTATGGTCAACGCCTCCAGCTATGTGTCCGTTTGTCATCGTGTCATGGAAGACGTTAAGCCCAGGCTCCCCTTGGATGTTTACATTGATGTCCGAGACACATTGTGTGTGGGCGATATCGCAGATGAGATGACCGTCATCTTGAATCAATTGGGACTGCATGATATTGGAAATGTGGTAAGTAAGGATCATAATAAAAATAATAATAATAATAATAATAAATAGCATTTGTATAGCTCATATCCCGCTCGACAGCAGTCTCTATGTACTTTACACTATATTATTACCGCAGCAGACTATAGAGCACTCAGAAACATTTTCAGCTTCCCACGAAGCATACAGTGCAAGAAGCTGATAAAGCACTCAAACACTAACAAACTGACAAGATCTTTCACTGTCTATAGCCGGGTACCCATTCCCACCTGGGTGAAGTGAGAAAAATTCATGTAAAGTGCCTTTCCCAAGGACACAACTTTGGGCCCCTGATGGGATTCGAACCCACGACCTTACAGTTGCGAGTCTAAGAGCCTAACCACTAGGCCACCGACACCACCTAGTTGAAACTGTTAAGATGGCAGTTCTTTGTCGGGGAGAGAAGTGGCTGTCACAGGCAGATGCTTATCTTTGACAGTGTCATTATGATGTACAAGATACAAAGCTCGAAACGGGAAGTGGCCATTTGCATGGATGAATTCTATATATACAGGTGGCCATTAAAGGAGGTTCAGCTCTACGTACACTGTGGACAGTGATGCGTAAGTTTGTTTTACAATTCTATGCTCCACTGATGCAGTAACACAGAGAAACATCTGTGCTCAGATGTACGCAGATGAGTGATATTATCTTTGATATATTGTTATTGTTTATTGTCTCTACCATTTTTCGTTTGTTTAATTTTGCTATTTTTTAATCCCTGGGTAAAGTTCTTTGCCAGTATTATTTCTTATTTGTGTGTTCAGGAGAATGTATGTCATCATTGTACTTGCACCAAAAGCTGACTTTCTATACTTTGTGGTAAAAGAAATTTTTGTCACTGTTTACTCCACAGATCAATTCTACTGCTGAGACTATCATGGGGCTCTATGACGGTGATTTTTACGGGAAAACAGTGAAACTCGCCAGTCTCCATGGTCACGTGAATCGTTTATTGAAGGCTTTGGAAAACTATGATGTTATGAAGTGGTCTGAAATCTTCGAGAACATGCAATCAATTGATTTCTCTGATCAAGGCTGGGAGTCTGTCTCAGATATGCTCACCACTGATTATCTCACCAGAGGGTATGTTTAGCATCTTTCCTATGCTTTGAATATTAATCATCAGAGGTTTAGGTGTTATGGGCTTGTCCTTTGTTTAGTACACAAAAAGACTGGAGTTCAGTTACCAGAGGGGAAGTTTTTATAGAATTATCTTTCTCTTTGTTTTTTAGTTATATTTCACACTGCTCAGGTTGCCTCTAATCGCAAGGTCAAAACAGCCTGCTTCGTGAATGTGAATTGTGTCAATGTTGGTGTAGAATATTAACAACAATCAAATTCTGAATTTGAAGTAAAAGTTTGTTAAGAAAGTTAATGAAACAACAGAATGTTACTTTCTTAGTTTATAGCATTATAATAAATAAATGAAATAAATAAATAGTTAAGTTATATAAATAAATGCATGAAAAAAATATTTTGTTGATCTTCACCTCACTGCAAAGTTTGTTTTACAATATCAGATATAATTATAGTTGTATTAAGATAACTGCTGTACTATATATTTTAGCATTAACTGCATCATATTTCTTGTCTCCCTGGTATGATAAAATCAAGGAAACCTAAAACCTCGTATTGTTTAATGTCTTGTTACTCTTTATTTACAGCATACTGGGTGCATACAGAGGTTTGGGCACTGTGTTGGTTGGGACTCCTGTGTCGAACGAGATTGCCCCGTACATCTATGCCATGTCTCAGTTCACAAAATCAGGTTACCAAATGATGCAGACTATGACAAGTAAGTTGACAAGAAAATCTTTGTATGACAGTCGGGTAATTTTGAATTGCATTGAGAAGCCATGATCATTATATAGCAGAGACCAAAAATAATTCCTTATTTTGTAGCTCAGAATTGGGAGTACCCATACTTTGTAATCTTAAGTTGAGGTCCCTGCTAATGCTCACTATTAGTTTGACGGTGCATTTAGCTTTTTGATCACCTCAAAGCTTGGTTCAGATGTTTCAGAAGTATATTGTGTTCTTCTGAAGCTGATTATCTCATACAGACTTGAGAAACAGAAAAAATAGGTAATAAGTGTAATTCAATTCATGTAAAATAATTAAATCAAGACTGACAATTTTAATCAGACAGTTTGTTTCAGTAGCATCTCATCAACCCCCCTCCCCACAACAAAATTCAAAATAAGTTGAACAAAATTTTGAAATTTAAAAGTATGAAGCCAACAACTGAATGCAGTCTTTTGCTGAGTAACCTTTTTTCTAGCCAGGTACCTTTGATACGTGTGGCATTTAAAAAATCGTAATCGTTTATGTGATCTGTATAATCATTTCTTTTCAAGTCATAGAATTTTCTCTTCTGTTGTTTCTTTTGTATACGAACACATTCGTCCTTGAATTTAATCTTATTACCGAATCCTATAAGAGATGGACATTATTTTCATTAGTTACTGCCTCTCAAATAACTTTGAAGGATTTGAGGGAGGTGTTAAATTCATACCATACTACCATATCTCCTATACCTTTTATCCAGACTTGGGAGGCCTTGATTTCCTTTATCTCAGCATTTTGTTTCTTTCTTCTTATGTTGTAGAGCAATAAGGATCAGATCATCTTGATATAATTCATTACTGTTGCATGTTGGAGAGTTTGGTATAAATCTGATCAATTGACTGATGTTCATTTTTGTATGACAGCTACCTATAGCGCTGACTCTTCAATCACCAAACTGATAGGACTGATCACCTCCTACTTACCTGAGTTGGCGACTGGCCTGAATGATATGTGGAAAAACAATATGGACATGGTAAGCTGCATATGAATGAAGGGTGTTAGATTAGATTTTGATGTTTGGATTTGTTGTTATTTTTCTTTTCTGAAGCAGTCTTGACAAACGGAAATTTCTAATATTATATTTTAAGCCAGCGTTTTAATTTTTTCATTCTTGGAAGTAGTTAAAAGTTTTAAAGTTAGTTCTTTATTGCTTTTAATCAGTGGCAGAAATGACAGACTGAATTTACATGGAGGTTGGATATTATTGCTCTGAAAAGAAGCAGAAATTTGGTTATCATGAAACTGGACAGACTGATAATTTTGTCATGCCTTCAGAATGATAAAAAAATGTGACTGTCTATTAGAGTAAAAAGAGCTGAGAAGAGAGAGAGAGAGACAAAGGGAGAGAGACAGAGAGTGTGTGTGTGTATGTGTGTGTGTGCGTGCGCATGTGTGTTTGTGTGTTTGTATGTGATGTGTGTGTTTATTTGTGTGCGTGTGTGTGTATGTGCCTGCGTGCATGTGTGTGTGTGCATGCAAGCCCACCCTTTCATTTCCATCCTCTGCATTACACATGGATTGAAGGACATTTTTTTGTTCAAATTTTTTTTTCTCACAGATTTACCAGCTGGCCAGCTCCAGTGATCCCCTGGGAACATTTTGCGGCAACAATTATCTCGGTCGGATGAACATGCCGGCATATGTCCCGCTGATGGAAATGAACACAACTATTTGTGAAACTAACTGGCCAGTGGCTATTCAAGACCTGACACAGTCTAGCATGGCAATGCAAACCATGATCGAGGAGGTATACGACAATAATTCCATCAAGATAATTATTCTATCAAAGCAATTATTCTTTCAAAATAATTATCTATCAGGACAATTATTCAACAAATGAATGAAATATCCATGGGGTTGGGTTTAGAAGTTGCTTGTCACTGATTTTTGTTTTTTAGTTTTGAAATTTTTAAATTTTTACAATGGTTAGGAACTTTCTTGGCGTTTATTGTCACCAAGGATAGCTATTCTCCAGTTTCGTTGCAGTCGAAATTGTGTAAGAAGACCACCAACTCTCGAGAAGAAAAGTGGCTGTTTTAGACAGATGGCTGTTTTACATATTGCCATTATAATGGGAAAAAGAATCCAAAGAGGGATATGGGAAGCGGGTGTTTGTACTGGTGATTGTCCTTTACAAGTGGTCTTTAGGGCTGGTTCAAGTGTATTTCATTTGCAAAGTTTTTCATGGTTTTGGTGATTTCTCTGCTTTTTTCACACTGTTAAATGATGCCTGAAAAAAAACCATAATGCGTAAGAATGGTAAAACTTTTTTGTGCCCTCAAGGTAGATCAGGAAGATAAGATAAGATAAGATACATCTTTATTGTCCAGATCCTGGAACATTGATGTGGTGTTTCACCACGTACATACGTGCGCGCACACACACATACACACACACACACACACACACACACACACACACACACACACACACACACACACACACACTCACACACACACACACACACTCACACACACACACACACACTCACATACACACACATCCACACACATAGATACATACTTGGTATTTTGCTTGTAACTCAATGGTATTCTGATGCATGCTCTAAGGTCATATGAATACTTATAACAAAATGATTAAGATGTGTAGGCCTATAATTATGGAAACAGCTCATGATTATTTTCAAAACAGTTATGTTTGATGATCTAAAACAACTACATTTATTTGATACAAAATTTGACATTACCCCACCCCCCCTTCAAAAAAACTAACTTCATCTCAATGCAGTTAGACATGTTTGTGAGCCATCGAAAGTTACTTTCCATCTATTTTGCTTGTAATGAAATTCTCGGCACTTAAAATATCGCAAAGTGCAAGTTACCAGATATAAATGTTAATTGAAGTGGTTTTTATAAGCATTTTAAGAAATTAGTGAGTTTGCTTTTTCATAGGCTCTTTTTGTGCTAGTACATTAGCCAGAC